ACAATGTCCATTTGAAGAAGTGTTCTCACTGTTTGGAAGGAAAGCAGACTCGAGTAACGTTCAAGATTCAGTCTCCTTCTCTAAAGGAGAACATACTTGATTTGGTGCATTCGATTTTTGTAGTCCTATGAAGATTATGACACTTGGTGGCTTCTCATATTTTGTCATATTCATCAATGATCACTCGAGGAAGGTATGGATTTATACCTTGAAATCTAAAGACCAAGTAGTAGATGTGTTTAAGTAGTTTCATGCATCAGTATAAAGACAGACTGGGAAGAAGCTCAAATGTATACGAACAGATAATAGAGGTGAATACATTGGGCTATTTGATGCTTATTGTAGAGAACAAGGTATTTGGAACCAAAAGACTCCTCCAGAGACACTATAGTTGAATGGTTTAGCCGAGTGAATGATCAAAACATTCATTGAGTGAGTCAGATGTTTGCTCTCATATGCAGGGTTGCCGGTTCTATTTGGGGTGAAACTTTGAATACGACGATACATGTTATTAACCTAACCCCTTGTGTTGTTTTGCATTGTAATGTTTTTGACAGGGTTTGGAGTGGCAATGATGTTTTGTATCGTCACTTACGGGTTTTTGGATGCAAGGCTTTTGTACACATTCCCAAAGATGAAAGGTCAAAGCTTGATGTGAAGACTAGGCGATGCATGTTCCTTGGTTATGAAAAAGATGAGTTTGATACAGATTATATGATCCAATTCAGAAAACTTGTTCGAAGCCAATATGTTATTTTCATGGAAGATCAGACTTCAAATGATGTTGAGAAGAAATAGACAGTTTCTCAACATAATGATGAACTCACTGATTTGGATCCAATTCCTCTTAAGCATGTTGAGACACATGATGGAGATGGTGTTTAGAATGATGAACAAGTAGTATTGATGATACTGATGTTCCAGAGCAAATTGAGATGGATGCATAAGTTCATCCAGAGTTACCAGTTCTAGGTATGCCATCATTTATCCCACTTAGGCAGTCTATGGGATGTTGTTATCCTTCTACACTATACTCTGCTGATAAGTATATCTTACTCACTGATGGGGGCGAGCTCGAGTGTTATGAAGAGGCCATGGAAGATGAGCATAAGAAAGAGTGGGTTGAAGCCATGCAAGACGAGATGACTTCCTTGCATGAGAACAATACATTTGAGTTGGTAAACTTTCCTAAAGGCAAAAGAGCTTTAAACAACAAGTGGGTTTACAAAATGAAGATAGAAGAATATATTTTGCGACCCAGGTACAAAGCTAGATTGGTGGTCAAAGGATTCAATCAAAGAAAAGGTATTTACTTCGATGATATTTTCTCTCCGATCGTGAAGATGGGATCTATCTGTGTGGTTCTTGGCTTAGTAGCTAGCCTTCATCTTAAGGTTGAGCAAATGGATGTCAAAACAGTTTTCCTTAACAATGACTTAGACAAGGAAATCTATATGGATCATGCTGAAGGCTTCCAAGTAAAGGTCAAAGAAGATTATGTGTATAGACTCCAAGAAAGTATATATGGTTTGAAGCAAGCACCAAGATAGTGGTACAAAAAATTTGAGTCGGTTATGGGGATGCACGGCTACCGAAAGACGACTTTAGAGCACTAGGTTTTCCTTAAGAGATTTGGGGATGATGATTTCATCATTTTGTTGTTATATGTTGATTGTTGGCATGAATAAAGAAAGAATTGTCAAATTGAAGCAGCAGTTGAGCGAGTCTTTTGCAATGAAAGACTGGAGCCCAACATAACAGATTCTTGGCGTATGGATTATTATGAATAGGGATGCTAAGAAGCTTCACATGTCATAGGAGCAATATATTGAAAAGATGCTTTGCAGATTCAACATGGATAAAGCTAAAGTGGTCAGTTCACCCCTAACTGCCAACTTTAAACTAACTGATAAAGATTGTCCCTCTTCAAAGAAGAAGATTGATATGAGATGGCTCGAGTTTCGTATGCATCATTTGTTGGGAGTCTAATGTATGTGATGGTATGTAGAATGCCTGATATAACTCATACAGTAGGTGTTGTTAGTCGGTTTCTCTCAAATTTGGGTAAGAAGAATTGGGAAGCAGTTAAATGGATTCTCTGTTATATATGAGGTACTTCCAAATTGGATATAACATTTGGGAATGAAAAGCCAAGGATTATTAGATATATTGATTCTGATATAACAAGAGGAAAATGGCTTATAGCTAGAGGCATTAATTGCCCGTGTTTTCAAATGATTTTGGGATATCATATTTTGAGTATTTCAAAGAGTAGTGATTTGAATTAAAACCCGGAGGGTCGTTGGTTATTATTTAATCAGTTTCATTTAAACTTAAATCTGGTGGTATCTTAAAAGCTTATGATAATAACCAAGAACTCTGGTGATTTTTATTTATTGTTACTCTTTTATATGATCGAGGAAGTTGAGACCATAAGCTTGAATCAGTTGTGACTTGTGAGCTCTAAGAGTTGTATTTCAAATGTCTGTGAGAACCTGAGTGGTATTTCTTTTTATGTGGTAAGATCGTTTTATAACTTGCAGTTTTGTTTTACTGAAATGATATTTGATTTTAAAGTGGTTGGCTATTCAAATGTGAATTTTTAAACAAGTTTTGGTGATCTTTGCCCTGTAATTGCAAAGAAAGGGGTATCTCACTTATCTACTGGTCTAACTCTCATTTTGTGTTTTAAAATATGCATTGCAGGTTCGGCTGGGTCAAGGGATAATAAGGGGAAGGGAGAAATGTAATTATTTTTCTAATATGCTTATCTGATGTTTTGAAGATCAACCTGTTGATTGATGTATTTTAAAGATACATGTTCTTATACATGTGATTGTACAAGAACATTCTTTTGGAATTTTTAAGTTGTAAATTATGTATATAAGTTTCTTGTACTAGTGGGATCTTTGTGGTGTAAATTGTATTTCTTTTTTATGAAGTACATCTTATATGAAAATGTGGAAGTTTGGGGTGTTACATTAAATTCCTTGAGTTTCAGTAAGGAATTCTTCCATTTCACTCGATCTTTTAAGAAAGACTATTATACCTTTATATTTACTCTAATATATTCCATACCACCATGACGATCGTCACTAACATTGTCGCTTCCATCACCGCCACCACCATTGTCGACAACACCACCACCACCACCACCATCACGACCACTGCCATTGCCACCATAACACTGATATCGCCACTATTGTCACCATCACCACCAAGGCCACCACAACCATCACCACCACCGCCACCGCCGCCATCGTCACTGTCACTATCACCACTGTCACCATTATCACCTTCACCACTGTTTTGCTATTGCTACTGTCACACCACCGCTACCATTGCCACCACCTTCCTGCCACCACCACCACCGCCATGGTCGCCACCACATTACTTTCACCGCTACCTTGCCACCGACACCACTACCATTACTACACTGCTATCGCAGTCGTTGCGACCAGTGCCACCGTCTGCCAACATTGCTTCTACCACCACATGACCACCACCTATCTATCGCCATTGCCACCTCCATCAATTATTATTATTATTATTATTATTAATCACTATATAACACTTATGAATTAAGCAATAAAGAATGAAACATATCATGAATGGGTATTTTGATAATTTACCACTATTTTATTATAATTCTAAACTTATATTTAGCGAACCAAATAAACAGATTTCAATTCTTTTGACAAATTTCATTCCAATTTCTGTCAACCTAACACATGATCAAACCTGATTAAATTTCAATTTCTTCAAATTCCAATTACAAAAGATTCAATTTTATGAACCAAACGCCACCTAAGAGTGTTTATATGGTTTGATATGTCAAGCATATAATAGATATTAACGGAAATACCATTATGATATAAAAAACATGAAAATTCCCTGGCAACATGGAGGGTCAGGATTAGTTTGCACAGTTTGCAACATTTACGCGGTTTGTCTTTGATTTTCGGTATATACATATATATATGGTTGACTTCCGGTGAGAATTAGAATTATGGTGATAACAAAACCTTCATACACATCATCAAGATATACTTTCTTCTACCTTTTATTTATCTATTTTTATCATTATGACCAAACTTTAGCAAATATATGCATATGAAAATGATTAAAAGTATGTAAAAATTCGTGAAATTGACTAAACGTAAGAATAAAGGTAGATAAATGTAGTTGGAAATAAAGTTAGATCAAAAAGTTAACAAATTCAATTATATATCCAAATGCTCTTATACATTCTCTCCATGCTTACCATAACTGTTATTCTCACACGATATATAACGTTCCTATAAGGAAAAAAGTCAGTATTGGTTTCATTTTGACATTTCTTAAAAGAACCATAATTAAACAAGACAAAAAAGCGTCATAAAACCAATCTATATTTGAAATTAGTTTAAAAAACAACTATTGATATTTCTATTAGTGTTCTTAACCTTTGTTTATAGTTCTGCTTATACTCACTTCGACTGATCCATTAGATCATGAAGTTAGTAATCAAACAAACCCTTTATCCGGAAAAAAAAACCCTTACCTTTAGGGACCGTTTACTCAATTGCTTACCTGGTAAGCAAATTACCAATAGGAGTCAACATTATGATTTATTTTGATGCGCAAAATTTTAGTACATCAAAACATATCGAATGCAACAATTCACCTGGGTAAGAGTCGTCATCGTCACTTACCGGGTAAGACTCTTCATCATTCTCATCGCTCTTACCCGGTAAGATTCTTGGCCCTTTTCATTTTCACCCGATGAAGATAAATACTTACCAAGTAAGTGTTTGGTAAATGTTCCCTTAGACAATAAACCCAAAATGTTACCTATTAAACTAACATCAGTATTATGTCATTTTCCGACGGTTTCTACTCCGTTCCTACGACATCATCTCTTCTTATATCAAGTAGTTGCAAACATACAGACCTACCAACTCTTTTTGTTTCCACCATCTTCAAAGTCGTCTCTCTCTCTCTCTCTCTCATCTCTTTTGCATCTGATAAAGATCCTCTTTGTCTGTCCAATTCAGATTTCAAGTTCTTTGAATCTTTTCTTTTTGCACAACAAATGGCATTACCAAAACGTGGCCACAGATTCTTCAAATTCAGGGGTCAATTATCTTGTGATCATTTCAGCTTTTAGATCTTAATTTCTTTTAGTCATCATCAACCAAAAAACAACTTAATTTTCTTCTGTCTTTTTCCGGTTCATAAAATCAGATTAAATGGCTTCGAAAAAGATTGTTTCTGGGGTGATGGGTTGGATAATGCTTAGGATTGATTACTCCATGCTTTTCTGGCTCGTTTTTGGCGTTTTCCCTTACGAAAATCACGAAGGAAGGCCTCCAATTATCTAGCACTTAATCATCCATCGTTCTTTAGTTCTCTACGTTATTATTTATAGCGAGTTCTCTTTTTTGTTTCTTGTTCTTGTTTCTTGATAATTAAATTCGTAGTATTTTAGACGTCAATTAGTTACCGGTTCTTGTTACTTTACAAAGAAATTAATAGCTCGTGCTATCACGTCCAAAACGTACCATGAACAAATCTTGGTCCAATGATTCTCTTCGTGGAGCAAAATCACAACTTGATTACGCAGAAATGGATCCATCCGCTCGATATGGACGTGTAAGTTTTTGGTTTATATATTGGGTTTAAATTATTTAGTGTTAAGTTTTCTTGAAAAAACTCTTGAATTAATTAACTATCAACCCTTAATTGTAATACATTCATCTGTTTGAAACAAGTTACGTATATAGGGTTTCAATAAATTTCAGAGCTTTTTTTTTCCATTTTTGTTAGGGTAGGTTCCATATCAGATAGACTTGAACCATTTATTTTCCATATATGTTGGAACCTCTTTTATTTTTTAAAGGAGTTTTTGGAGAGTAAATATGAGAGTTCCATATACTTTCACATGGTATCAATGTTAATGTCTACCATTAATTATACGGACTCGACGCACACCTAGTGGCACAATCTGTACCCATCTAGCCTCAGATGGAGCCAGGAAGAGGGGGGTGTGTTAGAGTCATCTTACATCGGCTAGACTTAGACCATTTCAATTCTCCATATATGTTGGAACCCTTCTCCTGCTCTCCTTAAGAGCTCTTTTAGTGAGTAAATCTTGAGAGTTCCACATATTGTTACAATTTTTTCTAATTACGTTTCTTATATTTTACATAGATGACTACAAATCTATCACTATAAATCATTTTACATCGTCATCTAGTTTATTGTCTAGTTTTTATCAAACGTGATTAATTTATCAACTAACAACAAACTTAAAAAACCAATAACTAGGTTTTTAACTAGCAATACCATATCAACTAACAATTAGGTTGCCAAATATACCCATAATCTAAATATGCATGTAGACAAATCAATATGATGTAATTATCATTAACGATAAATTCTGAAAAATTTAAGTAGGAATCTTTCTTATAAATTTCCTACTTTTAAAATAATCATAGGTATGGCTGCTGGTTTCTGCAAAGGTGGCTTTATAATTTAATTTATTTATTTATTTAATATTATTATTAAAAAAAACTGCTCATGTCATAGAAAGAGTTGACCACTATTATAATTAATTATCGGCAATAATGTATTATAAATTATAATTAATCAAGTTGTGGTTTTTAGTTTCTCAAATATAATTAGTATCTTTTGGACCTTATCAAGAAAGTAAGATGTTGATGTTTTACCATTGATTGGATCACATAACACAAACCTACCAAATTAATATAAGTATTCTAATATATATATATAGAGAGAGAGAGATAGAGAGACGTTGCTAATTCTTTTAGATGGATGATTTATAGGTGTCTAATTAAGAAAGTCAGAAAATTTTGTTGAGTGGAGTTCGTCCCCTTCTTCATGTCTCAATTCGATGTAATCTCTTGTTGTTGTTACCCTCTGGTTAGCTTCTTTCTTTTTAAGAATTGTCGTTTCCAAAATATATATATATATATAGAGAGAGACCAGTTCATAGGGAATTGAATGATACTTATTTAAAAAAAATAAAAGAATGGTCAAATCACATGTGATTTTATCGAATGTATACAGGTCCCCCTACAGGTCTAGTACCTAATAAAGTATTTAATATGATTTTTAAGTAGGGATGTTATTCGGACAGTTAAACCGGTTTTCCGTTTATTTGAGTTTGTAACCGTCTATGCATTTCATATATATAATGACATCATAATAAGGTATTAGCCCAAAGTTAATTAATTAATTAATTGGCTTAAGAAGTTTAATAGATGAAGTTAGGCAATCTAAGATAATTCAAGAAATAAAAATCATCATATAATATTTTTATATGATACTTTTGAAAAGTGTTCTATTAGTTCTGTTTTATAAAACTTATTTCATTAGACATTTTTGTAAAAATGTTCTATAAAACACTACAACAAAATTACGTTTATAAGACGCCACCAATAAATAAGCGTCTTAATAGACCACTTTATAGGACATAAATTACCGGACCAAAAAATAAAGCGTCATATCTAAAGGCGTTGTAATAAGTTTACAGGACGCTTTTAGATATCATAACAAGATTGTTAGGATACTTTTATAAAAAAATGCCGTATTAGCTATTTTATAGGACACAAGTGTCCTATAATAAGATGAGTTTTATAGGACGTTTTCTAAAAAAGTGTCCTATAAAATAGCTAATGCAACGTTTTCTCTATTAAAAGTGTCTTAAAAAATTTGTTAAGACCCCCAAAAACATTCTATAAACTTATTATAACGTCTTTAGATACGCTTTATTTTTTAGTCATATAAGTTAAGTTTTATAAAATGGTCTATTAGGACACTTATTCATTGGTGACGTCCTATAAACCCAATTTTGTTGTAGTGAAAAGACTAAAAATACGGTTTAGTTTTTTGGTTTTCTATTAGATTGTCTAACTTCTTTCATAGAGCTTGTTAAATCGTATAAATTATCTTACTAACTTATAATAACATTATTGTAAAAGACATCGTTCTTGACGCTATTAATCTGTAAGTTTTATTTAGTACTCCATCAAGACACCCAAAAGCCATTCGAGATCATAAAACCCATTTTGTTGAGTAGGTTGATTTCAGTTTTTTTGTCCTGATTCAGCCAAGTTTTGACACTATGCCCACCAAGAAATAGATGACAAAGCAGAAGTGCAAAATTAAGGTTGAAATCTTTTGGGTGTTATTATGATGATTAGTAGCTCGAAACACTATAATAAAAATGGCTCTATAAAATGTCAAAAATGTTTAAATGTCCTAATAGATTGTTTTATAGGATATTAGGACTTAACACTACAACAAAATTGGGTATATACGACGCCACCAATTTTTAAGCGTCCTAATAGACTGCTTTGTAAGACTTAACTTATAGGACCAAAACATAAAGCATCCTATCTAAACGCGTTGTAATAAGTTTATAGAACGTTTTTTGGCGTCTTAACAAGTTTTTAGGACACCTTTAATATAAGACGTTTCATTAGCAATTTTATAGAACACTTTTGAGAAAGTGTCCTATCAACCCATTCTTTTATAGAACACTTTTTCAAATAGTGTCTTGTAAAATTGTCAATGCACTATTTTGTAATAAAAAAATTCCACAAAACTTGTTAAGATATCCAAAAACCTCTCATAAAATTATTACAACGTCTTTAGATATGATAATATATTTTTAGATTCTATAGATTAAGTATTATAAAATAGTCTATTAGGACACTTAAAATCTTTGGTGTCCTATAAACCCGATTTTGTTCTAGTATAAGTTTATAGAATAAGCAGAGAACTATTTGTTCAAGGTAAAAGTGTCACAATAAATTGAAAGAACGCTTTGGGCGTCGTAATATGTTTTTTTAAGAAACTTTTGAAATAATTTGTCCTATTAGTATTTTTATATCACATTACTTGAAAATTTGTCTTATGAAAACAAATGTCCTAAAAAAGTTGAGTTCATCTTATAGAAAAGCTAATATGACCGAATTATTTAAAAATTGTCTGAAAAAACTTGTTGGAATGCCCAAAAACTCTCTATATCAACTTACAATAACACTCTTATATAGGACATATAATTATTTGGTGTTATAAAGTTAAATCATGTAAATAAATCTATTTGGACATTTAGACATGTTTGTCATCTTATATATCCAATTTTTTTTGGAAAGAGTGTCTCAAGCTACGCTTGAACTAATCCCGACAATTTGTGATCACAATAAATCAGCCTCATAAACTTAATGGCCCACAATTATTATATATATCTCGAATTGATATAAAGCCAAATTCATTGTAGGGAAAGTTATGAAATTTATCGATTATCGATTTTGTAGAAGGCATTTTGCCTGGATCTAGTTGGACCCAAATACTAGATATATACCATGTTATCTGAAAGAAATCAAGAATTAATAGATTCGAGCCTATAGAATAGCTCTGGTTAAATAACGTCATTTATCGTATATATAATATTATTTACTTCAAAAAATATGTTATCTAAAGAATAGAGTTCTTTTTTAACATTTTATCTAAGAAATGAGATGTTAATGTTGCTTGTAGTTCAAAGAAATTCTGGGAAAAGGAGCAACAAAAACAGTTTACAAGGCATTTGATGAGGTTTTAGCAATGGAAGTGGCATGGAACCAGGTGAAACTCAACGACGTTTTCCGATCACCTGAGGAACTTCAACGGCTATATTCCGAGGTCCATCTTCTCAAAAACCTCAATCACACCTCCATAATGCGATTCTACACGTCTTGGATCGATGTTGATAAACGGACTTTTAACTTCATAACAGAGATGTTCACCGCTGGCACCCTCAGAGAGTAATAACATTATATCTCTCTTTTACGTGTTTAACCGACTACAAGAAATTTGGTCTTTTAGGACCTCCAATTATATCCTTATTGAATGTCCTAATAGATCAGTGTTTAATGAGATTTTAAGTTTATAGAAAAAAAATTGTATATGTTTCATATTTAAAGGCGTTACAACAAGTTGTTAGTGCGAAGTCAGGTGACATAACAAGTTTTTAGTTGGGTGGGCAACCAATAAGGCACAAAAAGTATATCGTCATATTGAACTTTTTACAAGACCTTTTGGAAAGTGTATACAAAGGGACTAATAAGACGATGCAATTTTTTTTGTCCTATTAGGTTGTCTAACCTCGTAGATAAAACTTGTTTGGTCGTTTAACTTCATTCTAACAACTTATTGTAAAGCCTTTACGTAGGACACATTTTTGGTCCTATAAATTTAAATTCCCATCATTACAACAAAGATGAGTTTATAGGACGGTTAAAATGTTTAAGCGTCCTAATAACATACTTATATACTTTATAGAACTTAAGTTTATAGGATCAAACTATAAAATGTCTTATCAAAGAGTGTTACAATAAGTTTATTAAAATGTTAATAGGTGTTTTAAAAATAAAGTGTCATATTAGTTATTTTATAGAAAAACTTTGAGACGTATCCTACAAACCCATCTTTTTATATGATATTTTTTTGTTTATAAGACAATTTTTCAAATAGTGTCATACAAAATAACTAATAATATACTTTTATTTTAAAAGCGCCTTAAAAACTTGTTAAAATGTCAAAAACGTTCTATAAACCTATTGCAACACTTTCAGACGTCCAAAAGCGTCTTGTAAACCTATTGTAACACTTTTAGATATGTCGTTTTGTATTTTGGTCCTATAAAAGGACACTTAAATATTTTAGGCGTTCTATAAACCTGATATTGTTGTAATGCATTAAGTACTCTATTAAAACGTGACTTATTTTGTTGTAATAAACATCATCGAAGGAATAACTTTTTTGGGTGCCTACTCGAACATGATTATGCAGGTATCGACAAAAATACAAGCGAGTACACGTACGAGCAATCAAGGATTGGGCACGCCAGATCCTCGAAGGCCTAGCTTATTTGCATGGTCACAATCCTCCTGTTATCCATCGCGATCTTAAGTGTGATAACATCTTCATCAATGGACATCTTGGTCAAGTAAAGATCGGTGATCTCGGGTTAGCAGCCACTCTTTGTGGATCGCAACACGCTCATAGCGTCATAGGCAATATTTCTCAACTCTGCTACTCTCGGATAACTAATTATAGTTCTTTCTTTTTGTTGAAGTCCCACATCAGCTAAACTCGAACAAATTCTTTTCAATATGTGTTGGAATCTCCATTATTTCTTTATGAGCTCTTTTAGAAAATAATCTAATGGGGTTTCACATATTTTCACGCTTTTATTTTCTGCATTGCAGATTTACTAAATTACTTAATTTTATATCAAGCAGGCACACCCGAATTTATGGCACCGGAAATGTACGAAGAAGCCTACAACGAGCTTGTGGACATCTACTCCTTCGGCATGTGTGTTTTGGAAATGCTTACATCCAAATATCCTTACCATGAATGCTCCAATCCGGCTCAGATTTACAAGAAAGTCACTTCGGTATGCTTATTTATCTCATAATCATATATGCACGTTGTAGAGAAATTCGTATATTATTCGATGATTTTCAAGGTTACAAAGGGGCCTTTGGCAAGTCGGGGAAAAATCTCAAAATTAAAAACTGACATTAAAACATACAGATTTAATCCCCAAAATAGAGGTGTGAAAACCCAAAACCACTAATTTCACATGATTTGCTTGTTTATATGGATTCGTAAATGAAATGGAAAATTGGTAAAAAAAAAAAAAAAAAAAACTTCGTCTAAGTCAGATTTGTGGCTCTTGATGAATCATTTTCGGTTTGTGAGTGGACCAAACTATTGAAGGTTGTTTGCCATTTATGTGAATAGTCGTTGAGTGAGCCAAAAAATGTTCTTTCATATTGTTGTCATTGCAGACGGTTCGGTGTGGCCGTGTAGGGTCTCCGGTAATCAAATTTTTGCCTAAATATTGTAATTAGTACAAATAGATAGTGATGCACGTTTGATGGGTTTTGATCATATTTAGCGGTTTTAACTTTCAAGTACGTAATGTGTTTGATTTGAACTATATATATTATGTCAATAGATAAAATGTATAATCTTTGTATGTGAATATTTCAGGGAAAGTTGCCGAAAGCATTCTATGAGATCGAAGATGCTGAAGCTCAAGAGTTTGTAGGAAAATGCTTAGAAAATGCTTCGAGTAGGCCGTCTGCTAGAGAGCTGTTGATGGAACCTTTCCTTGTTGTTGAAGACCATTCCGATCAATTGATGGTCATCTCAACAATGCCTTCTCAAAACCCTCCTTCGATGCCTGAAAAGGTGGTTTCTTCGTTACCCATTAATGATCGAAAAAAATCTACTGATATGACCATCACAGGCACCATGAACCAAGAAGATGGTTCAATCTTCCTCAAAGTACTTATATCTGATAAAACTGGTACGTAAATGAGATTAATATCAGTTGACACTAAACAAAATTGGGTTTGCAGGATGCCAAAAATGTCGTAAGAGTAACTTTTATTAGCACCAAATACTTGACCATCCTATGTAAAAGTGTTACAATAAGTTTATATAGTGTTTTTGGATGCCTTAAACGAGTTTTTACAAAAAAAATTAAACAAACACTACAATAACATTAGGTCTAGGACACATACAATGTCTAAGCGTCCAATGATTTATAGGAATTAAGTTGATAAACAAAAAAACATCCTACTAAAAGTGTTACAATAATTTTGTAAGGCGTTTTTGAGTGTGTTAACATGTTTTTGGGAATGCTTTTAAAATAAAGTGTCATATTAATTAGTCTATACAAGACTATTTCAAGAAACATTTTATAAACACAAGTGTTCTATAAAAAGATGGGTTTATAGGATATTTAACATTGTTTTATAAAAATAGTTAATACAACGTTTTATTTTAAATACGTCCAAAAAAATATGTTAAAGCTCTCTAAAACATCTTATAAACCTATTGTAACACTTTTAGATATGATGTTTTATAGTTTGGTTCCATAAACTATTATCACTATAATAAAATTAAGTTTATATGACGTCTAAAATATTTTTGTGTACCTAATAGAGTGTTTTATATAACTTAAGTTTATGGGACAAAATAATAAAGTGTTTTATCTAATAAATTTATAGGACGCTTTTGGACGTCGTACAAGTTTTTAGGGTATTATTTAAATAAAGTGTCATTTAGCTATTTTATAGGACACTTTTAAGAAATATCCTATAAACCCATCTTTTTATAGGACATTTGTGTTTATAAGACAACTGTTTCAAATAATTATTTATAAAATAGCTAATAAGACATTTTATTTGGAAAATATCTTGGAAAACTTATTATGATGCCTAAAAGCATTCTATAAACTTATTGTATTTTAGATATGACGCTTTTTTGACTGATCCTATAAACTTATTTCATACAAGCCAATCTATTAGGACACTTAGCTATTTCAGGAGATAAATCTAATTTTCTTATAATTTATATTATGATGCTTACACATTTTAAGCGTCGTATAAAACTAATTTTGTTGTAGTGGAAGTGCTTTATTTACTTCTTTATAGAACACTTTTGAGAAGTGTCATATTAACACATCTTCTTACACAGGACACTTGTCTTTAGAAACGATTTTTCAAATAATGTAATAAAATATTTTACTTCAAAAGTGTCTTGAAAACCTTGTTAAAAAGTGTAAAAGCGTCCTGTATACTTATTATCACACCCTTACATAAGACACAATTATTTGATCTTATAAAACAGTCTCTTAAAACATACATTTAGACATTAAACCTGATTTTGTTGTAGCGTCAGTTGTCAAATATATTGTTCTACTTGGTAGTTGCACGCTAAAATCTTTAAGATTGCAGGTAAAGCAAGGAACATATACTTTCCCTTTGACATTGAGAGCGATACAGCGAATGATGTTGCTACTGAAATGGTGAAAGAATTGGAGATTAACGACTGGGAACCATTTGATATTGCTAAGATGATTGATACGGAGATTGCAAATTTAATCCCGAAATGGAAGAAAGGATCCATGGAATCGCTACAAAACCAACATCATCATCATCATAGTTTTTGCTATGATGAGGATGAAGATGATGATGAAAACAATTTGAACCCTTTTCACTCGCGATCATCATCTCAGGCTTCTCTGCAAAGCCTCGATGCAGTTCGGGATCAATTAGATAGTATCATGATCTCTTCAACGTTTGATCACTGGAATAAAGGTAAACCCTAGTTCAAGAAGTGATTTTTATTGGTAACAGAAGAAAATCGGTTTATGTCTTAAATGATCTAATAGCTTTATAAGATAGAACTTAACAATTGTGTGTCTTATGTAAAAGTGTTACAATAAGTTGATATGATGTTTTTAGGTGTCATAACATGTTTTCAGGATATTTTTGAAATAGATTGTCATATTAGATTTTTTCGTATGACAGGTTTGAAAAATGTCTTATGAACACATCTTTTTATGAGACACTTGTAAAAGTGTCTTAAAGAACATTTATAGGAGCAAACAATTGTGAGTCATATGTATAAACATTACAATAAGTTGAAAGAACTCTTTTAGACATTCTAACAAGTTTTTTAGGATATCTTGAAATAAAGTGTCATATTACTTCATTCGATGACACTTTTGAGAAGCGTCATATGAAAACATTTTATAGAACACTTATTCTAATAATAACATATAAAAATGCTAATAGCACATTTTAAACTTACAACACCCAAAAACACCTTATCAACTTTTTGCATTTTTATACAAAACATACAAAGGGTTTGGTTCTGTAAACTTAAGTCACATAAATCATTCTATTAGAATATTTAGACATATTTGACGTAATGTAAAGTTTTTTTTTTTTTTTTGTAGTTTATAGTTCAATATATCTTCTAATATTGGCAATCTTACAAACCCTTAACGCTTTACTAACCCAAATGCAGGCAATATCTTAAACGATGATGATGCAAGTTGTAAAAGCTCCTTGAATTCTTTTAACTACTCCAACTTCACTTACTGCTCGGACGATGAAGATGAATATCGTTCGATGTCGTATGCAAATCAAGACCCACGACTAGTTGGGAAGACGAAGAATTTTATGAGGTTTTGCGGTGAAGAGAGAATGAACAGAAGATGCAATAATAGGCAAAAAGTTGGGCCTGAAACGAGCCAATTTGGGAATATAAAGAGTGTAGGATCTGCCGTTGATATCCGCAGCCAATTGCTCCACCAATCGTTGGTGGCGGAGATTCACAAGCGGCGGTTGTTCAAGACCGTTGCTGCTATCGAGAATATCGGCTACCATGAACCAACTTGGTGACTTCCAATTGGTACTGTGTCAAAATATAACACTGTACATAGAAATAAGAATAAAAATCTATTATCCTCAAGTTCCATGTCGATCACTTCCGTATAAGTATCCAACAATCATGTAAAACCACATCATTATATTTAATAAAATAATGACATGTATTTACATGATTGATGAGACACGGGATTTGGAGACAACAAATTTTTATTCAAAAAAAACGATGGTTTGAATGGTGAGATTTGTGAATTTGAATGATTAGTGTGATATTTGTATTGTATGGTGTGTAATTTTGAGTATATTCAATATGTGGTATGATTTGTAATATGAAACTTGTGATACTTTTCTATTGTTTTATTTCTTTTGGTTAATGGTACGTATAGTCATATAGAATTGCAACCATTGGATGGTTTGACGGTAAGGGGTTCGATGGAGTTTCCACAGTAAGATCTCGAGTTCAAACCTACTTATGGTGCCCACATTGTCTTAGGACATGATCACTATAAAACAAAAGGCTTTCACCTACAGAGAATTTCGTCGGAACGTTTGATTTGTCGATAAATATATGTCGGGGTGAATATGGTGGGCAAAGCCATCACCGTGATGGATATCATTTGTGATAACCGGATTCTAGTTATCACCCAAGGTAAATAATATGTGATTATTTGATTAAATGATTACGTGATAACATGATAAATTGTTACGTTTGATCATGCTGAGATATGAAAATGTGCATAATACGAAATGCATATGTTATGTGTTTACATGTATGCATGGTATATATATATATATATATATATATATATATATATTTATATATATATATGAACAAGGTGTATGCATGCATGCATGCGAGTTTTGTGAGAAAAGGGGTTGGGTTAGCCGCCTTTCTAGTTTTGGAAAAGTATAAAAGGGAGGCTGAGCCTCCATATTTTCTCTTCTTGCTTCTGATTAAAAAGCTGTGCGATTTAAAATAAGAGAGTTGGCCGGATTATTTCTGTTTGGAGATTCAAGTTGATAAGTGTTTGATTTCAAAAGCTTGATAAGGTGAGTAGTTTATGAAACTCTTTTGCATAAATATTATTACTGGTTTCATATGAATTTTTGTTTGAATTTAGATAGAAATCAGTCTTTTTGCTCCAAGTGTTTATCCGGATATTAAACCGGACAAAGTTTGACCGGATTGTTTTAAATCGGACAAAGGATGAACGATTTGTTGTCTGGATTGTTTTAAATCGGACAAAGGATGAACGATTTGTTGTCCGGATTGTTTTAAATCGGTTAAGTTGTGAACGGAGTATTGTCTGGACTTGTTATCCGGAAAAAGATGTTGGTTTATATTCTCAGTGATAAATTGTTCAAGCTTTATGCGAGGTATTGACCGGATTTGTTATCCGGACAAAGATGAAATTTGTTTAAATGTTAAAACGGACAAAGCTTAGGCTGTGTTGTCCGGATAGTTGACCGGATTTGAAGTCCGGCTAAGTCAAAGTTGACCGGATTTGATGTAATGTTGTGTTTTCGATGAGAAATGTTATTTTATCATAAAAAGGAAGTTTTGAAAGAAATATTTTTGTATTGATAATAATTTCAATGGCTGCGGTTTATTTGAAATTATTCTGTGAAAATATTTTGATGAGAAAATAAGGGTGGCATATCAAGGAGAGGTGTACCATGGGATAAGGATGGCATATCAAGGAGAGGTGTACCATGGGATAAGGGTGACATATCAAGGAGAGGTGTACCTTTGGATATAAGGGTGGCATTTGTATGTGTGTTGTATGATATAACTCATTCTATTATATCCTTTAAGACTACCGTGGTCCGGAGTCTTTATTTCTTTGTGACTTAAAGATTTAGGATCAAGGTTCTTATTGGAAATCATAGTTTGGATGTTATTGAGTAGAAAATGTCAGGTTTGGCCTGAAGCTTTAAATAACCTTGTTGGTTAAGAAAAGGTTTAAAAGTGGCATTATGTGGAACCTGATTGGTTCAGAGTTTTGAGATTTGAATAAGCAGAATGCTTTGCTTGATAAATGGACTTTGTAATTGGTCATGTTAGATTCTTGTACTAAGGGACCCGAATGGAATGATATTATGTATTTCCTTTATATGAAATATGTATTACATGCAATGTGTGGGTTGGGGCGTTACAGAATGGTATCAGAGCCTGAGTTTAAGGGATTTAGGTATTCAACAGCATGATACCTAGACTTAAACTGTTTTATTGCATGTTAAGGGTCCCGGACTTAGTTAGCACCATTAGAAATAAATATGATGAGTTAAAAGAACAGTGTGTAAGGTAAATTTTAATTACATCTGGCCAGTGTAATTATGAATTTACAGGTACACATCTAAACTTGAATACTTCATTACATTTGGGAATGTGAATATGTGATGATTAACACTAAACTCTACAAATGTCTAGCCGAACTAGAAGATCTGAAAGAATGGCTCATCCATAGTCTGAAGAAAGGGAAGAGTCACCTGTTAATTTTCCAACTAGCACGTCCAGAAATAGAGGTCGGGGAAGACCAAGGGGACAAGGCAGAGGAAGAAGTCAGTCTCAGGGAAGGGGTCGGACTGAAGTACAATCTGAACAAGAAGAATCTCACTCTGGGAATGTTCAAGAAATGTCGGTGCCACATCCTGAATATATAACCAGAGACATGTTAGCAGAAGAAATGGGGAAATTGCGGGAAATTCTGACATCTATCATGGGAATACCGGCTAGGGTGGAAACAGAAAGAGTGGAAGTTCATCCCTTTGTTCCAATCACTCACAACAAAGAAGGAGACATTAAGATGTTTTTAGCATGCAAACCACCAACCTTTTCTGGAGAAAGAGATCCAGTGAAAGCAATGTGCTGGATCAAGGAGATGGAATCTGTATTCAACACCATTCGGTGTCTGGAAACAGATAAAGTTCGATATGTTGTTTCTGTATTAAAATCAAATGCTTTATTTTGGTGGGAAGTTGAATCGTCTACCAGAACGGATGTTTTACAAACTCTGTCTTGAGTAGAATTCGTGGATCGATTCAAAAATCAATTCTGTCCCAAAACAGCAGTGAGACAAATGAAGGAGGATTTCCTGAAGTTAGAGCAAGGAAATGGATCAGTTCGGGAGTATACCGAAAGATTCATTGAATACTCTCATTTTGCCGAACATTATGTTTCAATTGAATCCAGGAAGATAGAGAGGTATATTTGGGGTTTGAAACCCTCAATTAGAGAGTTTGTTATTGCTATGAAYCCCAATACCTTTCCATTAACAGTAGAGGCAGCTGAGGTGACCGAACGAAATAAAAATAGACAATTAGAAGGAAAGGTTGTTGAGAAAAGAAAATGGGAAGGGCCTTCATCTTTTTGAGGACCAAAAACTGTTAGATATGATAACAGATCTGAGCAGAAGATCAGTGAAAAAGTCTGCTCACAGTATCGACAGGTTCACCAGGGAGAATGCAAGATGGACCCAAGAAAATGTTATAAGTGCGGTGAGGCAGGTCATTTATCCAGAAATTGCTCAGCTAACCGAAGGTGTTTTAATTGCAATTCTCCGGATCATATTCGACCAAATTGCCCCTTGTTAAGAACTCCACAGTTAACAATGGGGAGTAATGCGTTGGGTACACGGGGAAGATCTACTGTGAATAGAGGAGGGCAAGGAGGGGCACGGGGACGATCCTTCCAGATGACTAAGAATGAGGCAGAAGCATCACTGGATGTAGTAACAGGTACATTCCTCCTGAATTCAATACGTGCTAAGGTGTTATTTGACTCGGGTGCAAACTTTTCATTTATATCACCATTGTTTGCTCAAACTACATGTCTGAATTCTGTGCTACTTGATGATAAATTAGTAGTTGATACTGCTAATAGTCAAGAGACTGTTACTAGTGTGTTCAATAACTGTATTATTGTTATTGAGGACTGTGAATTTCCAATCCGGTTATTTCCCATGCCAATGAAAGAATTTGACGTAGTAGTGGGTATGGACTGGTTGGCAAAGTATCAGGATAGTATTGTTTGTAATCAGAAAATAATCAGGATTATTTTGCCAGATCAGAGAACAGTTGTTATTTATTGTGATCATCAGAATCATCATACCAGTATTTTGTCAGTTATGAAATCCCGAAAAAGTATTCGAAAGAAGTGCCAAGGATGTTTAGCATATGTAATTGATCTGAGGAAAGAAAAGGGAAAAGAAGAATTTAATTCTGATTGTTAGTGAATATCCAGAAGTCTTTTCAGAAAACTTATCTGGATTACCACCAGATAGAGTCATTGAATTCTGAATCGATCTTGTATGAGGAGCTGTACCAGTAGCAAAGGCACCATACCGTTTAGCTCCATCTGAATTGAAAGAATTGGTGGCACAGTTGAAAGATTTAACTGATAAGGGATTTATTAGGCCTAGCACTTCGCCCTGGGGTGCTCCGGTCTTATTCGTTAAGAAAAAAGATGGGTCTATGCGAATATGTATAGACTATCGTGAACTAAATAAGTTGACAACTAAAAATAAATATCATTTACCAAGGATTGATGACTTGTTTGATCAATTGGTGGGAGCAAGTTATTGCTCCAAAATCGATTTGAGGTCAGGATATCATCAGCTTAAAGTCAGGGAAGAAGATGTTGCCATAACAACATTCAGGACAAGGTACGGGCATCACAAATTCTTAGTTATGCCATTCGGCTTAACTAATGCACCTGCAGCCTTTATGGATTTGATGAATAGGGTATGTAAGGAATATCTTGATAAATTTGTTATTGTATTTATCGATGATATTCTTATATACTCTAAAACCGAAGAAGAACATGCGGAACATCTTCGTTTGATACTGGAAATATTGAAGAAAAAAAAAGTTGTATGCCAAATTGTCCAAGTGTGAATTCTGGTTAAAAGAAGTTCAATTTTTGGGTCATGTTATCTCAGAAGCCGGGGTACAAGTAGATCCAGTAAAAATAGAAGTAGTTGAAAAATGGGAAGCTCCAAAGACTCCATCTGAAGTTCGTAGCTTTTTGGGTTTGGCAGGTTACTACCGGAAGTTTATTCAAGACTTTTCTAAAATAGCCGTGCCATTAACCAAATTGACTCGAAAGAATATTAAGTTTCAGTGGGAAAAAGAACAACAAAAAGCTTTCCAACTATTAAAAGATTATCTCTGTAGTGCGCCGGTATTAACTCTACCAGATGGATCCGAAGTCTTTGTGGTATACAGTGACGCTTCAAAGTTAGGATTAGGATGCGTTTTGATGCAAAGAGGAAAAGTGATTTCTTATGTGTCAAGACAATTGAAAGATCATGAGAAGCAGTATCCAACTCATGATATGGAGTTAGCTGCGGTAGTATTCGCTCTAAAAAT